ATCAGACATTGTTCTATGTGCCATACATTGAATTCTCGTAAAATCCTAAGAGGCAGATAATACTATTACTTCATTTTTATAGATGAGGAAAATGAAGTAAAATAGAAGCAAAGTAACTTTGCCAAGCTACTCAGTCATCTAGAAAGTGGCAGAGCCAGGATTTGAACCCAGGCGAGGTGGGTTAAGACACCCTGCTCTGATCCTCCATGCACAAAGGGTTACACAGCCAGTGTTAGGGAGAGGGTGGAGAGGCAGGATACATACAGGCAGCTGTCCTGCAGGGGGAGCCACCCGACGACAGGCTACCTGTGGGGATACAGAGCAGACACAGAAAGCCCAGCCCTGGGGGGCAGGGGGAGCTTCCCCTCTCACCCAGCCTGGAGCCCCCCGCCTCTGGACTCCAGGTCACCTGCTCATAGGAAGGACTCCAAAATGTTTGTTGGACTTTCAGATGAAGGTGGCAGCCTGAACACGTGCATTTTCTCTCTCTCCTTTCTGAAGCCCGCTCCTATGGCAGTGAAGGAATGTTCAAAAGGCCACAAGGCCCACGGGAACCGGAGAGGCCACGATAGCAGTACACTTGGGAGCTGGGGAGCAATGAGAGGGACCTGACTCCACCGGCAGAGGACCCACCCAAGTGACCCAGGGACGGGGGCGCGGTCATCGCGGTGGTAGGAAACAGGACTGTGGATCATTCCTTTAGGAGGATTTAGACCCCCAGCCCTGGCCCACTCTGTATAGCTTCCCAGCCCTGGCAGGAGCCGAGGGCAAGTCTAGGGGCAGAGGGTCTCTAACACCAACACATTAGAGAACAAGCAATTAAGGTGACGTTTACATAGCGAATGTGCAGTGCAGCCTCCCAGTCGCAGCGCCTGACCAAGCCCCTCCAGAGAGAAAACAGAAAAGCCTTCTCCAGGGACCGACCCACCCGAGAGGAAGAAGCCCAAGGAGGTCAGTGCAGAGCCTGGAGGGTCAGCCCAGCTGGACCAGCTGCTGTAACACCCCCCTCCCCCTCCCCCCAACACACAGTTACCAAGCCCCTCCCATGGTCTCAGGGACACCGGTGAACTCTCTAGTCCTCCTGCCTTACCCAGGAACGAATGACCAGGGCTCTAATAAAGCAGAAAAAAAACACCACAAGTTGGAGGACACAGCGACTTTCTGCTCCCCCCACCTCCCCAGTGATACCCGCAGACAGCTGAGAGGAAGGGTTGCATCACTAAAACAAGAACAGGGTGTTTTAAGAGGAATATTCAGAGAACAGCAGCCTCTAAGCCAAAAACAAACAAAAAACTTTGGAGATTGAAAATAATCGTAGAAATGAAAAAATTCAACCAAGGGTAGGAAGGTAAAGTTGAAAAAAATCTTCCAGGAAATAGAGCAAGAAGGCAAAGAGATATTGGATAAGGGAGAGGGAGAAGAGAGAGAAACAAAAACATTGGTCCAGGAGGCCCAGCATTTC